GTTAAATCTCTTATACAAGGGCTTAATCGCTCCCAGGTCAGATACAACAATCCCAACACACTGTCTCCTAAAGAAGCTGCTTGAGGTCATGTTTAGCAGATTATCCATAGAAGCCATACAAAATAAGTTATTTAAGGCCTGCTACTGGGGTAGACTTGGGGAGTGGCTGGGAAAATTTGATAGAATGGTGGTGGAAAGGTGTAATGGTGGTGAGATTGATGATGGAATATTGAATGTAATAAATTATTGTGAACAATTATAGAATAATTAAAAGAGGTCTTTGTTATCAAATCTTGCCACTTGATCATTCCTCTTCTTGACCAATCTTGCCTCCACACTATTGCCTCCTGAGCATTACTGAAAAGCTGCCACCACAGCTCAGAGCTGGTCCCACGCTCCTCTCCCACCATTGACCCATCAAAGCTCCATTTTCCGTGTCCTACCTGAGAGCCGACAGTCAACACAGCAGTCAATGGTGTGGACCCCAAACCACACAAGGTGGAGTTAAATGTGTTTGCTGAAGGGTTTATCCAGGTCTTGGAAAGAGCGTAGAACTGAGCCCAGATATCCCGTCCCCAGACATGGAGGCCGAGAGAGACAGACTGGGCGAGCAGCCTCTCACCCAAACTTGCAGAGGGTGGGGATGAGCCTGGCAGCCCCCCAGGGCACCCGCCGTGAGGGGCTGGAACTGGCCTCCCCAGAGCAGTGGGGCAACTGTTGGAGCTCTCTGTGCCTGTCACCTGCAAGGGGCTGACTGAGCACCACCCCCTGCACCCACATCCTGGGCCACACAGAAGCTGGGCCCTAGGACAGTCCATAGTGCACCCGAGAGCCCTCTCCTCCTTCTGTGTCCCTGTGTCCTGACTCCAGCAGCCTTTAGAACATCCTCTGGACTGGTGGATGAAGACAGCGATCCCTGAGCTGTGTGAGGAGGGGGGAGGGGGACAGGGCCAATGTCCCTGTGTCCAGACAGCTGTCCACAGCTCCAAAGTGGCACAGATGCACCTGAGGTAAGTGACAGGATGACATTCAAGGATGAACTCACGGTCAGAGAGCTCAGCAAAATGTGGAAATGCTTTGTTGGGTCCCTCCAGGAGTACTTTGAGAGAACCCCTGAGACCAGAGTCAGGAATAACCCCTCCGCCACCTCCAGTCTCTGCCTTTCTTCTTCCTCCCCCAGCCCCAATGACCACAAGTCTCTGAAATAAGATGCCTGGGTGGGGGTCTTCTCAGGTTGCTGACACTGAATAAACTTGTCCATTGGCAGCACTGTCCTGTGGTATAGGCATGCCAGTGGCAAGGGATAGGAACATGTCCTATGGGAATAGGGAATAGGGAACGTGTCCCCGAGGCTGGGTCCCACTGCCATCGGCTCTGACCTGTGAGGTTTGTCCTGCTCAGGGCGGGCCATTTGGGGGCTGAGTATGGGGCTCCTTGCAGCATCTCCCTCCCTGCTCAGACTCTCCCCTCCCTCCTTCCCTCCTGCCTGGCCCTTCTCCCCCTCCTCTCCTCTCCCTTCACTCTGGATAGAGGGGTGGGGGTTGGACCTTTCTTGCTCTGGGCTCAGGGGTCCCTCCTAGTGGTGCTCAGGGGACCATAGACAGTGCCTGGGTGGAACTGGGTTGGCCACAACCGAATCAAGTGCTTCCCCCCTGGACAGTGTCCAGTCCCCAGACGGGATGACTCTGGTCTCCGCGCTGTCGTCGACCACCACCACATCTTCCACTCAGGCTCTGCTGTCCGCTGTCTCCTCTCTCTGGCTCATTTCAGGGTCCAGGTCTCCGTAGTGCGGGGCCTGCTTTGCTCGAAGAAGGAAATGGCGGCTTTGACAGGAACTGCTTGATGTGGAATTTAAAATGTTAACATGCCTCCGAGGGTCAAAGAGAAAGTGAAACTTTTGTGAAAGTGAAACAGAGTGAGCTGTACTTAGACACCTGACCCAGGGAAGCAGGTAACTCCGAGACGGGACAGCGGCCTCGGTAAGTGTCCAGGAAACTGTGCCGTTAGACTGGCGGTTTTGGGCAGGAGGGAGTGTCCGGGTGAGGTGTAGCTGTGTGCAGGGTCAATAGTGGGTTGGCCGTGGCTCCAGCGAATTCTCAAGGCCTCAGAGAAGCTCTGGGTGTGGCCTTAGGGCCTCTGACACCATCGTCCCTGCAAACACAGGGTCTGTGTGGCACCATGTCCTGGGTCAGGGGCACTGCCTGAGACCCCACAGGCACCAGGTACCTGACCCCCATCGGGCAGTTCAGTGAGTGGGGACTGTGGGAAAGTTCCTAGAAGTGATGGCACCAGTGCTGCTTGGCCTGGGGGGTGGGCAGGATGGCGGCTCAGGGAGGACCCCCCGTCCCCCTCCTCTGTCCCTGCTCTGTGTCAGTGGGACACACTGAGAGGGACCCAGAAAGATGATCCAAGGGGTAGAGTCAGGAGAGTGGCCCTGCCCCCACACCAAACTGGGCCTCCCTCTTTGCTTCCTGCACCCTGGGGTGCCCCCTCAGCTGCTCTGCTCCTGCCTCAGGAGCAGGTTCCCCCTGACCTGGTTTCCAGGGTATAATCCTGAGGAAATACCTGAACTCCTAACAGAGCTGTTTGGGGTCAGCATTTTGGCATTCCCTGGAGGGGGTGAAGGAACTTCAAAGGGCGCTAGGATCCGCTCACTGTGATCTCCTGGATGGATTCCATCTCTTAGCAGTTCTGTGTTTTCCCTTTGGGTTTTTCTTTTTCTTGTCACTGTCCTTTGTGTTTCTTGTACCCCTTTTTGTGTTTCCTGTTGCTTCCCCTCACTGCCTGGTCTGAAATCATTTCAGACATTTCCAATAAAAGGCCTGATGCTGGGACCTCCTGGATCTCCCTGAGTTTGGATGCTGGTCACCTAGGGGGGATGGCTCTTGTCACAGTGGCAGGGCGGGTCTTTCCTCGTTGAAGAGAGATCGCATGAGGGCAAAGGCAGGACAGGGCAGTTGCTCTCAGGAACATGACTAGGAGGAACAAGCGATTATCTGTAGGACTCAGCCCTTTCCCTAATGATCACTGGTTTGAAGCTCTGCGCCTGGAGAGTTTGGGACCAAGTTTGGGTTTCCACTGGGTCTGGGTGTTTGTTTCTGGGGTGTGGGTAGAGGGGATGAGTGGCCTGGGCTCTCCTGACTTCCAGACAGCAGGCAGCTCTCTTCCTGTGTGGGTGCAGGTACACAGGCGCCAGAGACCCCTCTTGTCCCCACAGAGCTGTCACTCCTTCACACCTTCACCCTCGACTCAGCGTTCCCCAGGGCTAAGAAACGTCCCCATGGCCTGTGGGCTTAGGGGCAACAGGCGCCCTTCTCTGAAGGAAAGAACCAAGCATGGATGTCCCCTCCTGATGGTCATGGGATGAGGGAAATTGCTGCACCGAGTCATCAGTGCTTCAGAACGACCAGACGGGCCAGTGATTTCTCTAACCGTCACTGCTATTGTCATCATCATCTTGATCAGTGTCCTGCATCTAAGTCCCGTCTCCTGCCCCTTCCCCAACTCCCCTGTCTGCCTTTGCTGCTTCCTGCTCCCACCCTGATAACCAAAATTCCCCCTGAGACCAAGATGATTTGGGGAGTCTTCTCAGGCTGCTGGCATCTGGATAAACCTCTTAACTGGCAGCAAGTGTCCTGGGTACAGGCCTGCCGGTGGTTGGGACCATCCATGGGTGCAGAATGAGGAAAGTGTCTCTAAGCCACGTCCAGTCATCGGCCCTAACCTGTGAGGTTTTTTCCTGCTAAGGGTTGGTATTTTGGGGGGGCCGAGTGTGGGGATCCTTGCAGCACCTCCCTCCCTCCCTCCCTCCCTCCCTCCCTCCCTCCCTCCTGCCTGTCCCTTCTCTCCCTGACCCTCATCTCTCTGCACACTGGGTAGAGGGATGGGGGTTGGGGTCCTCCTGCTCTGTGCTCAGGTATCCTTCCTGATGGTGTTCAGGGAACCATGGGCAGTGCCTGGGTAGAAGTGAGTCGGCCACATCCAAGTCAGTGCCGTCCCTCCGGGACTGTGTCCAGCCCCCAGATGGGTGACTTTGTTCTTCGCCCTGACCTCGACCACCACCACATCTTCCACTCAGGCCCTGCTGTCCGATGTCTCCTCTCTCTGGTTCATTTCCAGGTCCAGGTGCCCATAGGGTGGGGCCCGCCCTGCTTGGAGAAGGAAATGGCAGCTTTTACAGGAAGCGCTTGAGGTGGAATTTAAAATGTTTATGCACCTGAAAGGGTCAGAGAGGAAGTGAAGTTGTTTTTTGTGAAAGTGAAAGAGAAGTGCGCTGTTTAGACCCAGGGCCAGTGGATAACTCAGAGGCAGGACAGCGGCCTCATCTCATGGTGGAACCCAGTTCCACTGAGGGTCAGCTGCGCATCATGCCGACAGACTGGCCAGTGATTTCATCAAAGCACCTTGTCACCTGCAGCCCTGGGGTACAACTGCTGCCCTGTAGAGGACTCTGTCCTAAGCTCCCCCGCTACCCCCTGTTCTGACCTCTCCCCATTCTTGCTCTGTTTCCTCCTTCCCCAGCCCCTGAGGAAGCCCCAGTCCCAGCCTAAGGAAGGAGTCTGGGGCGTCGGCTCCATCACGGGCTCCGGAATCAGCTGTTTCCCAGCAGCAATCCTGCTCTGGAGTCTGGGCTCAAGCCTTGTGATGAGATCTGACGGGGGACCTGGGGCGCGTGTCTGTGATTATGGGGGGGTGCGGTTCTGTCCCTCTGATCCTGTGAGTTCTGTGACCCTGCTCAGGCCGGGCAGGTTTCTGCTGAGTCTGGGCCTTCTGCTCCCTCCCCGTCTGCCACCCTCCTGTGCTCCCCAAGCACCTGCCTTGCCTGAGCCCCTCTTTCCCTCAGTTCTGACTCTCCCATGGCCCCTTTAGACTCTGAGCTTGAACCCTGATGTCTCATTGCTTAACCTTGCATCTCTGCATCTACTGAGCACGACCCTGCCCTGCAGGGGACACAACAGTTTTGGTGTAAATTTTGATGCGCATCATTTATGACACAGGTGCACCTGGGCCCGGGTGAGGGAAAATAAAACTCTGCAGTGCAACAAAGGCTGAACCACAGGCAGCGAATCTCACTGAGAGGAGAATGGCCTCGGTAAGTCTTCAAAGACCCTTATTTAATTTTTTTATTTTTTCATTTTTTACTTAAGTGTAGAGTTTTTATTTATTATTTGTTATTTATTATTATTATTATTTTTAATGAATCACCATAAGGTAAGTTACAGACTTACAAACTTTCGTGCTTAACGTTTCAATCATACAATGGTCAAGTACCCAACCCTCCACCAGTGCCCATTCTCCACCACCAATGATCCCAGTATCCCTCCCCTCACTCCCACCCCACCCACCCCATCCACACCTCACCCTGCTTCTGTGGTGGGGCATTCTCTCTCTCTCTCTCTCTCTCTCTCTCTCTCTCTCTCTCTCCTTCTTTTCTTTTCTTTTTTTTGCTTTCTGAGTCACACCCAGCGATGCACAGGGGTTACTCCTGGATCTGTACTCAGCAGTTACTCCTGGAGGTGCTCAGGGGACCATAAGGGATGCTGGGAATCAAACCCCGGTCAGCCGCGTGCAAGGCAAACGCCCTACCCACTGTGCTATCTCTCCAGCCCCTCTCTTTCTCCTTTAGGATATTGTGGTCTGCAATGCAAGTATTGAATGGCTATCATTTTCAGTCTGTAGTCTACTTTCAGCACGCATCTCCCATCCCAAGTGGGCCCTCCATGCACCCTTCTCTATCTGAACTGTCTTTTTCCCCAGCATGTGAGGCTGGCTTCCAAGTCATGGAGCAATCCTCCTGGTACTCATCTTTACAATTCTTGGGTGTAAGTTTCCCATTCTGTTACTTTATTTTCCACAAATGAGTGCAATCTTTCTATGTTTGTCCCTCTCTTTCTGACTCACTTCACTTAACACGATACTTTCTATCGTTGATCCACTGATATGCAAACTTCATGACTTCATCCTTTCTAACAGCTGCATGGTATTCCATTGCGTTCCAGAATTTCTTTAACCACTCATCTGTTCTCAGGCACTCGGGTTTTTTCAAGATTCTGGCTATTGTAAACAGTGCTGCAATGAACATACAAGTGCAGATGTCATTTCTATTATACCTTTTTTGCATCTCCGGGATATATTCCCAGAAGTGGTATTGCTGGGTCAAATCGAGATCAGTTTCTAATTTTTTCATAATTTTATTTATTTATTTATTCATTTATTCTTATATTTATTTATTGAATTACTGTGGGAAAAGTTATAAAGCTTTCAGTTTTAAGTCTCAGTCATACAATGATCAAACACCTTTCCCTTCACCAGTACTCATTTTTCACCACCAAGAACCTCAGTATACTCCCCCACCCCTCCCAATGCCTGTGAGGCAGATGACTTCTACTTCTCTCTACATTGATTACATTCATTATTTTGACAAACGATACACCATTATTGTTTAGAATTCCCCTCCCTCCAACAATCAGAATTCCTGAAAAGGCTTTGTGAAATACTTTGTTTTCTATAGCTGGTTATGAGACTCATATGATTTTGGATTTCTGAAAATGCCAGATAATTATGAGTTTGATTTCTGTGCGTCTGGTGTTATGGCTGTGCTGGAGAGCCACTCGGTGGGGGTGGGCACCTCGTGACCTTAGTAGGGCGTGAAGGACGAGCCGGTACCACCCCCCCTTCCCATGAGACTGCAGTTGCCCCGTCACCGCCGGCTCATACCTGGCTCTCCTATAAGCTCTGAGGCGGTGGTCACCTTGCTGCCGGGGGGTGGGGTGGGGAAGGCGGAAGGGAGCAACACCCTTTCCCTCCCAGGGAGGCATTGGTGCAGTAGTTTAACGCATGGTCCATTCACTTTTCTGCTGCAAGCTGCGGGCTCTGGATTAAGTCCTTTTGCCTCTGGAGCCATGGCTGTGCCAGAGAGCCGCTCATGGGGGACAACTCGTGACATCGGTAGGGTGTGAAGGACTCAGTTTCTAATTTTTTGAATAGCGTCCATACTATTTTCCAAAAGGGTTGAACAAGTCTTCATTCCCACCAGCAGTGTAGGGGGGTCCCTTTCTTCCCACATCCTCGCCAACACTGGTTGCTTTTGTTCTTTTGGATGTGAGCCAGTCTCTGTGGTGTGAGGTGATATCTCATTGTCTTGATCTGCATCACCCTGATGATTAGTGATGAAAAGCATTTTTTCATGTGCCTCTTGGCCATTCGGATTTTTTTCTCTTTTTTTGGGTCACATTAATGATGCACAGGGGTTATTCCTGGCAGTGAAGGAATTACTCCTGGCAGTGCTCAGGGGACCATATGGGATGCTGGGAATCGAATCCGGGTCTGCCGTGTGCTAGGCGAATGCCCTACCCGCTGTGCTATCGCTCCAGCTCCCATTTGGATTTCTTAAGTTTCTGTTCATTTCATCGCCCCATTTTCTGATGGGATTGGATATTTTCTTCTTGTGGAGTTCAACCAGTGCCTGGTATATTCTTGATATCAACCCCTTATCAGATGGGTACTGGGTGAATATTCTTTCCCGTTCTGTAGATTGTCTTTGTATTCTGGTCATGGTATCTTTTGAGGGGCAGAAGCTTCTTAGTTTAAAATAGTCCCATTTGTTTATCTCTGTTTCCACTTGCTTGCTCAGTGGCGCATCATCTTCGAAGATACCCTTAGCTTCAATGTTGTGGGGGGTTTTGCCGACCTTGTGGTCAATGTAGACCCTTATTTTAAAATCAGCAAATTGACGCTGATCCTAGTTCAGCAGTCGAGGTGCTCGGTCCGTCTTTCTGCCAACCCCTGTTGACTCTGACCCCTGGTCAAAGGACTTAGTCCACCATTTTCCCCAAGGTCTCAGTGGGCAGCGCAGCCCCTGCTCAGGGCACCCAGCTCAGCTGAGGCAGCGGCAGCAGGTGTGGCCAGACCCAGGGCACCCCAGAGACTCCTGTGAAGGGGCCCCCATTCTGCAGGGGACCAGGGCACCATCTCCCTGCTCATGCTGCTCCACAGGGGCACAGCCCCTCAAGCTCTCCAGCTCCCCCGGGCTCCCCCGTCTGCCTCTTGCCTGGACCCAGATTGTAGCTGCCCCAGGCTGGCCCCTGTGATTGTGGAGAGTCTCGGGGTGCATGGAGGGGGGGACACTCAGACACAGTCTCGGTGTCTTTCCCGGGGGAAAGGCTGGACAGGCTCCTGCCCTTCCTGCCCCTGAGTCCCCTCCTCTGTGGGGGTAGCTGTGACTCCTGGGAGCGAGGCTCACATGGGCAGGGGCTGATCTCAGTGTCCGCAGGCTGGCCTGGGGTCGGAACACGAGGTCACTTCGGGACCAGCAGAAGGGGGGGAGGATAACCTGGGGGAGCCTCTAGATCTCCTGGTGACAAGGCTTCCCTCACTGACACAGACCTGCTCCGTGCAGGGAGAGGGCTCCCGACAACTGTGCCCTCTCCCCGTGAGCCCCTCTCACGGCTCCTCTGGGAACCCTGTCACCTCTGTCCCCAAAGACTCCTTCCCTGTTTGGCAATCCCAGAAAAAGGGGGGCTACATTCTTGGAGAGGGGAACGTCTCCTCTTCGTTTCCTTCAGGGGGAATAGTGGTCATCTGTGACTGGGCTGGGCTTCTTGTCCCTCCTTGCAGGTGTGGTGGTTGTAGAATATTTCTAGAACCTTCTCTGCGAAGATCTCACCTCTTTTGTCTTTTTTTTTTTTTTTTTTTTTTTTTTTTACAGAACAGAATTGGTCCTGAGCCCAAACCCGGAGACTTGATTGAGATTTTCTGCGGTGTTTATGAGCACTGGGCCGTGTATGTGGGAGATGGCTACGTGGTCCATGTGACTGACGTTGGTAAGTTTGGGGTCTGTGTAGAGGATAGGCTGAGGTGACTGTGGGTTCGGTTCACACTATGCTGCTCTCCACTGCTGGCCTGGCCAGTGGGCACAGCCACCAAGTTGGATGACCTGAGATGTCCCCTGTAGGCCCATCAGCTGCTGTTCTTCTATATCTGGAAGTTCCTGAACAGGCTGCGGACATGTCCCATTAGAGAGTGGGGGGTCACCGAGCCCCTGTCCTGGGGACACAGCCCTTTCTGCGCCCAGTCTTCTCTGTAGTTGCTGATATGCAGGGACGTGGGGTACAGGAAGCAGGGGCTCCCCCAACACTCAGCACTGCCACAAGGACACACAAGGAACATGACCCCCACTCCAGGGAGCAGCACGGTGGACCCTGGTTCCTGCCTCCTGACTGTGGGTGTCCCTGTATCTCTCTCTCCCCTCAGCTGCACCCTCTGATGGCTCAGGAGAAGCACCCTCGAGTGGGGGTGGCAAGAGGGAGGGCGGGGTGGCCTTGGCAGGGCTAACCCTCTCCCCATTAGCACCTTGCATGGAGGAAAATGCCAGCTGGACACCCCGTGAAAGGCAGGGTCTGGTCTGGAGGCTTGAGAGGCCCCTTGTGTGAGTGTTCCCCTGATGCTCTGAGTGCACTTGCCTCTGTCCCGCTATAGGGACTCGGCATCTCAGTGCTCTCTGCAGTTTGATAGCGTTGTAGAAACCCTCACCGCAGTGCAGACGCAGAGGATCTCTCCCCCAGCCTCGTCCTTCCCACGGGAAGATGCACTTTCCTGCCTAGTTGCACTGAGCGTCCTGACATCGTGGTTCAGGCCGCATGACAGTCCTTTGTCCTTTTCCTGCTAGGTGGAATTCCTTTATCTTCTTTTCTTTGGGTGTTGCTTCTAGACAGTGCTCAGGAGGCTCCGGTCTGGTGCCTCTGGAAGTCAGGCTGGCTGTGCTGGGCCCACGGTTGAATATGCTACTTGGGTTCTTTGTGGAAATACCTTTGGGTCCTTTGTGGATTTCCCCCGAGGTTACCTGATGGTTCTGGGATTGACCCTGGGAGTGTGGACATCTCTTGCCCTTGACCTTCTGCCTGGGCCTGCTGAGGCCTCCCAGCTGGGGCTCAGGGTGGTGCAGGGTTGGTGACAGGCCACAAACTAGTTGGTTGGTTGGCGGGGAGTAGGAGATGGCATTGGCCACCTTAATTCTGTGCCCATGTCACCCACCTTCATGTGACAGTTCCAGCAACACCCGATTGGGGCATTTGAAGCACTTCCGGCCTCTGCTTCAGAACCAGCAGTGAGCGGTGCCTGGCTCAGGGAGGAGGGCATGGCCATGTGGGAGACACAGTATCTACCCAGGTTCCCTCTGTCCCTTGGAAAAGAAATGAGGGGAAGAGAGTCTGGGGACTCCAAAGCCCTCACCAGAGGCCCAGGCCCAGTGGGCCCTATTGTGGGTCAGAGTCAGCAGGTGTCAGCCCTTCTGGGCTCATCCCCTCTGTGAGGACAGGGGCCATGGGGTGACTTACTTGAGGGAGGAGGGTCCCCTGGGGTTGTGCAGGGTTGACCACTGTGTCCTCTCTTGTGACCCCGCAGATGGTGGGCCTTCAGGAGTGAATTGGTTGGGGTTTCCATCGGGCTCGAGACCCCGAGCTGTGGTGAAGAAGGACCTGCTGTCCAAGGTGGCCGCGGGGTGCCGGTACCAGGTCAATAACAAACACGATGAAGCGATTGGGGCACGGCCTGCTGCGGAGATCGTCCGAAGGGCCTTGGCACGGGTGGGGGAGCAGAGGAACTACAGCCTCATCCATGAGAACTGCGAGCACTTCGCCACGGAGATGCGCTACAGAATTGCCCGCTCTGATCAGGTGTGTCCCAGTCCCCAGCAGTGTCCCCACTGACTGTGCTGGCCCAGGGGTTATTAGGTATGAGCAGAGAGTCAGTGTATCCCCTCTGAAATCACAGTCAGGGTGGGAGGTGAAGCGACACCAGCTCGGGCTCTGTAGACGAAGCTGAGCTGAACTCATCCCTGGTGAGAAGCAGGTTCTATCACCCATTTCACAGATGGAGAAACTGAGGCTCACAGTGCTCAGGTATCTGTTCACTCAGTCTAGCGACTGTGTGGTAAGTGGGATGTGACCCTATGGCACCAGCCACACAGGCCTGATCACCCTGGAGGGGTCAGGGAGAGGCAGCCTGGCTGTGGAGGTGGGTTTTGTTCTTGGGGTGGGCCTGACCCTTGACAGGGATCCTAGAGCCCAGGAATCAGGAACTGTGAGGACTGGGCAGAGGAGGGGCCGGGCTGTGGGTGAAGAGGCAGAGCACATGCCTGGCATGCGGGAGACCCTGGGCCGCACCCCAGGCACCATGGGGGCAGGCAGAGCAATACTAGGTGTGGGCAGGAGAGAAAACAGGAGTAGAGGAGTTGGGGGTAGCGTGACCTGGCAGAGGAGGTCGTTTCGGTCCCAGGCACTGCCCACAGCTTGGGCATCCCCTTGCACCGCGTTCAGGCTCGGTGTCTACCAGTCAGTGTCTCAGACCATTGGGCACTCTTGTCCCTCAAGATCAGATCAGCCTCCCTGTCTCTACGGGAAAAGCTGACAGTTTTCCATCTGAATAAATGTGTCAAATCACTGACAAGGTCTGATATCCAGTGGCAATCTCCAGGTGCAGAGAGGCTGAGGGTGCCCCCTGGAGGTAGGTCCTGTCTGCGCAGAGACAGGTCCCCTTGGTCCTCCCTTGCTGGTCTTTTGATGCTTACCAAAGACTCCAACTAGAGACCCCCATCCCATGTGGGTACAGCGTTCTAGCGTAAGGAGGAAAAGGCCCTGGGGAAAGCGTTTGGGGGTGAGGGGAATCCACACCTTTGGGAATGAGGAGCCGAGGATAGTGCCAGGGAGTCACTGAGACTGTTCCGGGCATCTGGGTGCCCAGGCGACAGTGTATTGCTGTACCTTGGCTGGGTGCTGTCTCTGGGCAACTTGGTTGAACTGTGGTGCTGACACTTTCTTTGAGCATGTCTGGAGGAACTGCTATGAGTGCACTCATGCACATACAGATATGCATAAGACACACAGACCCAAGGACCCCCCCCCCCCAAAGACCCCCCCCCCCCCCCACACACACACATACACGGCGTCAACAGTTTAGTTGTGGTCCTGGCCTCACTCTTGCAAGGCAGCTCCTTCAGCCCTGAGCCACTTCCTCTTCCCACTGAGGGGTGGTAAGACTCTTCTCTCCCCTCACTCAAATGCCCAACGCTTCAGACATCACATTTGCTTTAGTAATATTCTCTCCATTTCCAGGTTAGATGTTATTTTTCTGTCCCTGATGCCCCGAGTGCACCCCTAGAATCGGGCATTACAGGGCCCTTCACTGAGCGATTTCGGAGCACAGAAACTTATGATGAGGGTCACTGGGCAGCCAGGACAAACAGCTTCTGTACAGCCCGGGTCCCACTGCTGATGCTGGGTCTTCAAGGACCCCATTTCTACTAAGAGGACAGGGGGGCACTCTCAGGTGACAACTGCTCTGCTGAGTGTGTCCACCACAGGGAACGTTCTCTGAACCTCCTGCACCATGATGGGTTCCCATCCCGCTAGATCCACTTCCTACTCCAGAACCCTCTTCCGGTGACACCTGGGGTATAACTGCAGTGAAAGCTTTGCCTCTGGTGAACAGTCCGGGCCCTCGTTCAGCAGATGAACCTGAGGGCCCGCTTGGGGCTGCAGGGGGCTGAGTACCGGGATAGGATTGTTTCCGGTACCTCAGCATCCCTCTTGCTCCCCGACTCCTGATAGGCCAGCCTCGACATAGACTTCCGGGCACTCCCACGCTTCCCCACAGCGCCCCCTGTCGGCTTCCTCCGCCTGAACCAGCCCCAGGCCCGCGTGTCCCTCCCGAGTGTCCCCATCTGACACCCACAGCTCCTCTCCCAATGCTGCTCCCCGCTGGGGAGCGTCTCCTTCTCTCGAGGGTCCTGTCTCCTTGGGAGCCCCTCCCGGCCTCTCTGCTCCCTCGGGGTTTGATTGAAGAGTACATGGGCCAGCTGGTCCCTCCTGGGTGATGGCTGTGGTGGTCGGAGTCCCACGCCATGACCCTCTTCTTCCTGTTGCAGGCTGATGATCCCTTTCAGGCGCTGGTAGATAGGATTGGTGTGGGAATCAACGATGTTCGAGGGACTACTACAAGGGAAACGCAAAGAGGTAAGCACCTCGAACCCCAATGTCTGGCCTAGCCAAGAGGGTTGGGTCTGGCCTATTGGTCACCCTGATGGACCCTTGGGGCTCATTTCAGGTAGTGCAGGTGGGGATCCCGCACCCATCTGGACTCCAGTGTGTGAGCCCCAAAGTCCCTAGCAAGCCCCAGACTGTAGGGACGGGGGCGCTCTGGGGGGAAGGACTGGATCTGGGTTAGGGAGGCAGCCAGGGTGGGACTCATGTCCCTGTGACAAGGCGACCCGCTCTCTCTCCTCAGGGGACTCTCAGCCAACTCAAGCCCGGCGTACCGTCCGCAGGAACGTCCCCACGGACCAATGCCCAGGCCGCACTCTCTATCCCTGGTTCCGGCACACAGAGCTTTAATAAAGGGCTGGACTCCGGGTGTCTGCGTCTGTGTCTGGCTTTCTCCTGCAGGACGCGGGTCCTTCCACAGGTGTACGGGTGTTGCATGAATATTCTTTCGGTTGGAGGCGCAGAGACAAGACACACTAGAGGAATGTGGGGAGCACAGAGGGCAAAGGCTCGGTCTGGCTCGAGGTGAAGAGCGACTCCCAGAGGCCTCCTTTCATTTTATTTTTTATCAGTTACATCCTAATGACTTCATCACAGTGAAAGACTCACTAGCGAAAGTACAGAAAGTTATAGGATGAGGAACATCAGGGTATACAATGTCTTGTCAAAGCTATGCTGTCAAAGCTAGGTTGTCATGACTAAAACGTCAGGGGAAGATATGGAGCTGGACAGTAGACTCTAAGGATCATGTGCCCCACATTCTTGTGGTTGGTTATACATAGGGCAAACAGAAGGCTCATAGATATACTTGAAGGTCAAACCAGATTAAGGATTTGTAAGAGAGGGGAAACTGCTGCCTTCTATTGACAAGATAAGGTATGACGAGGTGGGTGTATGAGAGCATGCTGTACTTCTCCAGGTCATCGGACTCACAAGTTTTAGCTTTCCCACTTAATGTGAAAGAGGGGCCTCCGTTCTGCTTCCTGCTTGCAGGGCAGAGTTCAGAGGTTCGTCCTAATGTCCTTGCTTAGCACCAATACACGGGGACAGGCCCATCCCAATGGGCAGGAACAGGACCCAGGGTTCTTGGTCAGTGCTGTGTGTCTGTGCGGCCGTGACCGGGTGCGGCCCGGATACCTGCTACTCCTGCAGGATCCTTCCATTTTCTCGGCTCTCCCGTCTCTCCTCTGTGGCTCCCCTGCCTCCCCCGGGGTTCCTGCTTCTCCCCACGGGGCCCTGCACAGGCCTACAAGGGGCCTCTGTCCTGCCGACCCACCCCAACCCCACTCACCCACAGGCTACTGCTTGATTCCTGAGAGAACGTGATTGGCTGAGCGCCCCCGCACTGAGCTCGTTGATTGGCTGCTGGTGGGTCAGGTGACCCTCCACTGGGCTGCGAGGGCAGAGCAGAGCCCTGGGCTTCACCCCCAGTGTCAGTGATGTTACCGTGAGGGGTGCGTGTGCTGCGAGCCGTGTAGGGGGGCTCTGGTACCGGGCAGCCGGGTAGAGGTGAAGGCAGCACCGGTCTGAGCCCCTGGAGAAGAGCAGAAGTCGGGACTGTCCCCTTGAGACGTTCACAGTTGCAGTTGGCGGTGGCGCATGCGTCTCCACGAAGATAGGCATCACCAGGTCCAATGTGTTTGCAAACTTAAACTCATCATCATCATCATTATTATTATTTTGATTTCCTTGGTCTCAACTACATGACTGTTTAGAGGGTTTCAGGATCAGTGCCAGAACTGAATGGCATGTTCTCTCTGCTGATGGATTATTGTCCTGGCAGACCCCCTTTCGTACTTCTCGGAAGGTCAGTATCTGTGAGGGACCCACTGTGTGTGCAGACCCAATTCCGGGACCAAAGCATGTCAGCTGTGGCGCAGAAGAGCTGAGCAGGCTCCTGCCCTCTGAGTCCTTTCTTGCCAGTCCATGGTGACTGTGGTGCTTGACCGTGGACATGAGGCTGGGGTGTGTGGGATCAGGAGAGCCCCAAGTTGCCACCCACTGCTGCCTGGTCACCCCACCCTTGGTCATGACAGCTCACCCAACTGGGGGATATTGAGCCCCGCTGCTGCCCACAGGTTGGCCAGTCACTCTCTCACCGAGCTCAACGCCCCAGCCCGGGACAGAGTCAGCTTGGGTTGAGATCTTCTACTCCCTTCATGTTTTGCTGGAACATATGAACCTCTGTCATATCCCCAAGGTTGACTAGGTTTGGGGCACGAGGTGCCATAGTTTCACTTTCAATGTTGCCAACCCTGGGAGGTCGTGAGGAATGCCCAGGGCATCCCTACAGTCTGCCTTCTGTCCTTCCGTGAGGTTGCCCAGAGCCCAAGGCTCCTTTGTCCCATTTCCAGAGAAGATATAAGCTTTCTGCTAGGTTAAGGATCCCCCCAGAACTGTAAGTGGCCTTTGCTCTCATGCCATATAAGCTCACTAATAGCCATGATCCAGAGGCTCATAAATAAATCTCGGAAGAAATCAACAAGTTGCAGAGATGCCTCTGGCCCCCCAACCAGGCTAAGTCTCAAATGAACAGGCTAGAGGGGTGGGTGAGTCCCCACCCTGCTGAATAGAGCCCCAGCAGCTGAAAACCTCCAGAAATCAATCGCCACCATACTTATGGAGAATCACCACAGGCTTGGACAAGTCTCATCCATGAGGGGATCTGCTGAGAAACTCCAGTATGTGGATTTTGTGACTGAAACGTCCAGGCTCTCGGGGAGTCATGAATGGCAATCTCTCTCCACCTACCTGTGCTTCCAGAATCTTGACAATTACACCAACGAACTGCCTCTGGGACCATATAAGCTCATTGATGGACATGACCCAGAGACTCACAAATCTCAGAAGAAATCCAGAAGCTGGAGAAATGTCTCTGGACTCCCAAATCACTATGCAGTTGAAAATTTACCTCCACCTGCATCACCCAATTTAACAGTTTGAATTCCTGGAGCAAATGTGGCCATGCGACATCTCATCCTCTACACCAGTGATATACCAGTAGTAGCACACCACATTGGACCAGGTGTAAAGTAGAAGGCCACTGATATAGATTTAAAGTAAAATTATGTATCACAATCACAAATCACAAATCATCCTGTTATTCGTCGATTGCCTCGAGCAGGCCCCAGTAACGTCTCCTTCATCCTAGCCCTGAGATTATATTCAAGGCTCTTTAGGAGAATGAGACCCATCATTGTTACTGGTATTTGGCATACGCCAAGGGGAGTTTGCCAGACTCTGCCCTGTGGGCAGCCTACATTCGGTAACCTGCCAGTTTGTCCAAAGTAGGAATGAGATAATAAGGTGTCATAATAAGATGTCGCGCAGCCGCGAATGCGAGCACACGGTTCCGGGATCTGGTTTTTGTAGTCTCTGAGTCTTGGCCGTTGATGGGATTACACGGCGCCAGGGGGCCAGTTGGTGGGTGTGACCCCCGCCTACTGGAATTTGGAGGATCTGGGTGGAGGATGCTCGGCCCAAATTCGAGTAGGCTTGGAGATCTCGGCCCCGGAACCCGCGTGACTTTGTCTCTCTGCCAGTACCTTCATGTGTGCGGAGAGTGGTCTCAGCATGGTGGTGGCTGGTCCTGGAGGTCTTTGGCTGCCGGAGCCCTGGTCGGGGTGGGGAGGAAAGCTCAACCCGCTCCTCTCCAAGGGGTCCCGGCGAGCGAGGACAGTCAGGCGCAGGGGCAGAAGACTGCACTCTTCTCTTCCGGCATCTGGTTTTTATAATCTCTGAGTCTTGGCCGCTGATGGGATTACACGGTGCCAGGGGGCCAGTTGGTGGGTGTGACCCCCGCCTACTGGAATTTGGAGGATCTGGGTGGAGGATGCTTGGCCCAAATTCGAGTGGCTTGGAGAACTCGGCCCCGGAACCCGCGTGACTTTGTCCCTCTGCCAGTACCTTCATGTGTGCGGAGAGTGGTCTCAGCATGGTGGTGGCTGGTCCTGGAAGTCTTTGGCTTCCGGAGCCCTGGTCGGTATGTATATGCACACACATACACACATACATGGATTAGCAGACAAGGCTCAACCTGTAACAGCATGTTGTTTAATCTATTATACAAGAACTTAATGGCTTCCAGGTGAGATACAACAATCCTCACACACTGTCTCCTGAAGAAACTTTTTGAGATAATTTTTAGCAGATTATCCAAAGCAAGCAATTAAAAATAAGTTATTTAGGGTCTCCTTCTGGGGAAGAATTGGGTTGTGGCTGGGAAAATTTGATAGAATGGTGGTGGAAAGGTGTAATGGTGGTGGAAATGGTGTTGGAATATTGAATGTAATAAATTATTGTGAACAGCTAAAAATAATTAAAAGACGCCTTTGTTATCAAATTTCCCCACTTTATTATTCCTTTATTATTCCTCTTCCTGGCCAGTCTTGCCTTCCCTATTACCACCCTCAGCATTACTACAAAGCTGCCACCAAGGCACAGCGCAGGTCCCAGACTCACCCCCATACTGACCCATCGAAGCCCATTTTCCATGTCCTACCTGAGAGCTTAGTCAACACAGGATTCATTGGCATGGAACCCTGGTCTCACAGGGGTTTAGGTAAAGGTGTTTGCAGAAGGCCTATCTGGATTCCGGAGGGAATACTAGAATTGATCCCGGATATCCTGTCCCCAGACAACGAGGCCCAAGAGACAGAGTGGGTGAGGAATCTCTCCCCCAAATCTGGACAGGGTAGGGATGAGCCCTGCTGCCCACCAGGAAACCCAGCCATGAGAGGCTGGAACAGGCCTCCCCAGGGCAGTGGGGCAAGTGCTGGTGCTCTCTGCTCCCTGTCACCTGCAAGGGGTTGCCTGAGCACCTCCCCCTGCACCCACATCCTGGGCCGCACAGAGGCTGGGCCCTAGGACAGTCCATGGCACATCTGAGATCCCTCTCCTCCTTCCTGTGTCCCTGTGTCCTGATTCAGAGCTGCCTTTAGAGCATCCTCTGCACTGGTGGATACAGACAGTGATCCCTGAGCTATGTGTGGAGGAGAGGAAGGGGGACAAGAGGAACGTCCCCATGTCCAGTCAGCAGTCCAACAGCTCCAAAGTGGCACAGATGCACCTTAGAAAAGTGATGGGATGACATTCAAGGATGACTCCAGAACTCAGAGAGCTCAGTCAATGAGAAAATGCTTTGATGGGTGCCTGCAAGAGCACTGTTGCAGAACCCCTGAGACCAGAGCCAGGAGTAGCCCCAAAACACCTGTGTTGTGGCAAACAGGAAGAAAGAAATAAAAGCAAAACAAACCAAAGGGAACCAAGAGGCCAGGGAGATGGCCCTGGTCACGGATGCAGGTTTGACCCTGGTACTGCCCCTGGATATTGGCTCCCGGCATCGCTGGCTG